TCGCGAAGATCAACTTCTCCGCGATGTCATCCCAGTCCTGCTGCAGAAGATCTTCTGCATATACACGCACTGACTGTATACCGGTTTTGCGATACCGTTCTTGCTGGCCGTTCACCTGAGGCCGGTAACTTAATGTTGCACTAGACCTCGACTGCATCATTTCGGTGAACACTTGGAAGACCTCACTCATGAAGCGTGGGTCTGGATCGTGTCTAATCAGCGATGGCGCTCCGAATCATCGGTAGACGCACTCTTCAAACACCTGCGCCACCTGCAAGGCGGTAGTTTTTGCCATGACTTTGCCCATCACGAATCCGGTGAATGCGCATTGAAATAACAACAACGCAGTGTTTCCTCGCCGGGACTTCGGTAAGGGTATGACGAAATCCATAGACACGATTTGAAACGGTCGCTCCGCCAAAATGTTCCCCGGTGAGTATCCGCGAAGCTTCGGTCGGCTTTTACTCGAGCTACAGTCGGGGCAAGAGCGTACGTGTCTTGCGACATCTGCGTATAGACCGACCCAGTAGTAGTCTAATTTCACCCGGTAGAAAGTTCGTGCGATGCCTTGATGACCTCCTTCCAACGAGTCATGGCAATTTTGTAGTACCTCTTGAATCATCGTGGTGGGCACCACTAGACGCAGTGTTGGCTCTCCTTGCAGGTGGTTGCTCCTCAGAAGTCTCGCTCCTAGGTGGTAGAGCACGTCGTCCTCACTCAGAACAAAACGGTCGGAGATCTTCCAAGCATTTCTCGCTGCGGTATGTCAACACGGACTCGTCACCCCGAAGAACGGTCTTCAAGTTCGCCCATCGCAACTCTTCATCCTGAGCGACCGCAATTCTTCTTCGTCGTTCTTTTTGGATTGCCAACGGGTCGACGTTACGGGCGTTGGGAGACGCAGGCATGGATCCCGTTACCATTTCTGTAGGGGTATCGTTGGGTTCGACTCGCGCCGCACGCTTTGGGCCGAAATTTAGTCGGCGAATCTGACGCGTTTGCGGGCTGACTTTGCCTGCTGTATGGGCGGTACCGTTAGGTCTCCAAATTCGTCACCGCCCTCTCGCACAAAATCAAAAAAAAAATTCTTGCGACGGTGTTCGGCCATTCTTGTCGGGTATCCCGTCAGAGAACCTGGCAGTTTCGCATGTCGCGGATGTCTCACTTGAACTTAAGAGTGTGCCACACCGAAGGTTCGTTCTCCGAAGCTTCGCTGGGGGTTCATAGATGACCTCACTAATCCGGTTCCACGATGCTAATTCCGATAATCTGGCTTCTGATGTTGTCGTGGCGGATGCCTTCATCTCCAGTGCTTCCGTAGCCAGTGAGTCTGCCGCCGCATTGTACTCGCGTACCACATGTAGGTATTTAACAGACTTGAGGCTGCCAACCATCTTTCGGTGGTGGTTGAGTTGTGTCATTAGTGAGTCTTTCTTGCACGCGATCACCCCTAGGAACTGCTGGATTGCCAGCCTCGACTCCCCAACAATTACCAATTCCGTAGCTCCATGGTCTATAGCCGCTTGAACTCCCCGGTTCATACCAGAGTATTCGGCCAGATTCACCGTCGTGGCTTCGAGATAGACACTCGCAGCGGTCACTATAGTCCATTCCGGTAAACGCCACAATATCCAAGAGCAACTGCCGTACCCGCCGTATTTCTCGGACTTGGAGGGTCCGTCAAAGGATACCACAAATCCCTGGTGAGATTTCGGTAGGCGTGCGTACAGAAACTGAGGGTCCAGCCGTACGGTAGGTGATCCTTTCGAATGCGGTGTGACCGCCGTTAACGAGTTTTCCAAATCAACAAAACTCGTTAGGCCGGCTTGCAGTAGCTGTGCGAAGGCGCAATCCTTCTCCTTCACCCTGGTGACGATCAAGTACCAAGGTGACAACAGTACTGCAAATTGGGCCGTTCGACCGAACAGTGACTTCGATGTGTGGACCCATCCTAAAGTCGAGAAACGGCTATACACATGAATCGTCTTGCCCGCCAGCTGTGTGTAGCATGTCTTCAGCAGCAATAGTAATGCTAGCACCTCTTTCTCCGCCGGGTGATAGTTCATCTCGGCGTCTTTTAACACCCGCCCGCAGAATCGGACCGGGTGTATTTTCCCGTCGTGCTCCTGGATCAGGATCGAGCTCAATGCCCACTCATTCGCGAACAGTGTTACATGTATGTCTTTTCCACGATCAAAGTGGCGCAGAATCGGAGCGTCACCAATCTTCTGTTGCAACATCGCAAAGCTCTGTCGAGCGGCTGACAGATCGCCGCCTGGCTCGAAATCCTCCTCTTTTAGTTGGTACAGCGTGGCGGCGTCCACTGCGAAGTCCTGGATGAACCTGTTGTAATAGTTCAACGCACCCAGGAATGACTGCATTCCTTTCTTGGTGGTCGGGAATGAGAACTCTTTCACCATTTGATCTTTTTAGCATCCGCCCGCAACCTTTCAGGTATCACCTCATGTGACAGAAAATCGACTCGTGGCTGAACAAAAATGCTCTTGGTAAAGCTCACACTGATGCAACACTCGGTGAACCGTTGGAGTAGTCGGGCGAGTGTTGCTAAGCATCCATCGAACGACTCGCTTCCGAAACAAATGTCGTCAACGAATGATCTCCAATCAAAACCCGGCACTAACGAAGGCTCGTCCGGTTCACCATTCGCGAGCATATGGCCGATTTAGCTATTGACGGTCGAGAGATAGGATCTGTAATGGACGCGGATGCTTGGTCTGCTTCAAACTTGGAACGAGATCTCGTTGGGCCTTCTGTCACCCCTGTCTTAGCGCATTCGGCGTCTTCTTCAGCCGATCGCATGCGTGCTGAAAAATCGGCCCACCCGCCTTTGGGTTGGACGAACCCCCACAAAGCGTTGTCCATCATTCGTTGATAAATCATCGGCGCGTTTATTAGCCCGAATGGCATCCGACGCCATTTGAAATGTCCTAGCGCACATACAAATGCAGACTTTTTGTGCACGTTCTGTCATCATCACTGCCCAAAAGCCACTGGCTGCGTCGAGCGAACA